GATCCTGAAGCTGAGGCTCCAATACTTTGACCATCTCATGAGAAGAGAAAACTCCCTGGAAAAGACCCTGATGTTGGGAAAGTGTGAAGGCAAGAGGAGAAGGGGACGACAGAGGCCGGGATGGTTGGACAGTGTCACCAAACGATCAACATGAATTTGACCCAACTCCAGGAGGCAGTGGAAGACAGGAGGGCCTGGTGTGCTCTGGTCTATGGGGTCACGAAGAGTCAGACACAACTTAATGACTAAACAACTATGGCTATTTTTCTTGCTTATAGTAGGAACTGTGAAAGTGGCCATTTATAAGACCCATTTGTATCTTTATAACACCTAATTGAATGTGCAATAGAACAGAATGAACTGTATTACATTACTGGGCATATGTGTGATACTGTAAAAGTTTTTTCTCCTTGAAAAGCACCCTGCAAGTCGAAAACCTAATACCACAGAGACTACTAAACCGGACTCACCTGCACTACTAGTTTTTTACCTGCTGGGAATACAGTATATGACAGACTGTTAAAAAGTGAGTCGAGTCTTGAGAACATTATTTACTTATTATTTAAAATGTTTTACCCCACTTTTCTCCTTGAAAAGGAGCCAGGACAGCTTACAACAATGAAAGACAGTATTTACAGTTGAAAAGAGTGAGTGTACAATGGAGGTTAAATATCATTAAAAGACAATATTTAGAAGTACAAACAATGAATAAATAGGCATCTTGCATCATCAACAGGCAATATTAAGGCAAAGATCAATAAGGATATAAGTTTTTTTTAATGCAACTCTGAGAAATGGCAAACACAAAAATGGAAAACACAGGTAGTATTAAAAATCCAGTAAAGCATAGCAATCTATCTAAAAATCACAGATAGCTAGTTAGTGAGGGAAGGCTTGCTTGAAGAGAAAGGTCTTTGCTTGCCTGCGGAAGGACAGCAAAGATGGGGCCAGTCTGGCCTCCTGTGGGAGGGAGTTCCAGAGTCTGGGAGCAGCCACAGAGAAGCCTCTCTCCCGTGTCCTCATCAGATGCACCTGTGAAGGTGGCAGACAAGAGAAAGGCCTCTCCTGATGATCTTAACATCTGACCGAGCTCATAATGGGAGAGACAGTCTCTGAGATAGCTTGGAACAAGATGGCTTAAAAAAACTTCCTGCCTCATTTAAGACAGAAGCGTGCTCATAATGGGAGAGACAGTCTCCGAGATAGCTTGGAACAAGATGGCTTAGAAAAAAAACTTCCTGCCTCATTTAAGACAGAGGTGCCTGGTGAAATTCATCTGGCTAAAACTTTTACACCTAAGAATAACCTCCTGGCAAATTCCTTCTTCCACAAATGTTTTGACTTTTGGTACTTGCTCTGAAGAAGTGGGATTTACCCATGAAAGCTCACATAGAGTAATATTTTTTATTAGTGGCCTACAAAAGTATCAATTTTTTTGCATTTTTATTTTGTAATGGCCACAAAGCTCATCCCTTTTTTTACCCACTATATTTTGTTGTAGTTGTAAACCATACCTGTGTTTTCAGTCGTACAACTATTTTGCTTCATTGGCTGTATAGGTATTTTAAATCCACTTTTGTAGTAATATTAAAGGTATATTCAGGGTGTGGTCACATGGAGAAATAGATTACAATTTGGACTGCTTCTGGAGCAGTCTAGTGCAATCTCTGTCTTAGTAGCCACAAAATGCTTGGAGAAATAGGGTCCAGCCCAACCCTGATCTGTGGCCAAGCTAGACCTTTTTGGTGCAGCTGTAGGGTTTCTACTTTAAGGGAGATTGCCTCTGTTAAAACAACCCTTTCCCGTGTGATCAGGCATGCAGCTTTGCAGCTGTCACACCCTCATTCTGTGTTGCATTGTGGCCAGCATTTTATTTTACTGACTTGAGTTGGGTGTTTTGTTTAAAGTTAAAGTATGAAGTGGGGGGGGGAGTCAATAATTTTTTTGGTGTTTTTTCATATCAGTAGAGCTACAAACGTACACAATAACATCACACTCGCCTGTCATAGTCAACATTTCCTACAGGCAAACTGACCAGCTATAATTCTTTACTACTAAATTATATTGCTGTGAGGATATGCATGCGGGGGCAGAGCCCGCTGGACCAGAGCTGTGAGGATATAGAGCCCTCTGCTGTCTTGCTTCAGAACTGATACAGCAATGTTTGAATTAACATATAGGTATGTCAGGGGAAAACAAATGTAAGACTTGTGGCATCCTTAAGACACATTTTTTTTTCAAGCATGAAGTAGCACAGTTATGTGAAAAGGAAAAGTTCTGAAAATGTACTTTGCTTGACAAGTTATAGTTGCTGAAATACCTTCTCTTCTTCATAACTACTAAAAGTGAAGCACCCTGTCATTTTTTTTCCTTCTGATCACCCTAGTTATTGCAATGAAAGACAATGCATATCACATCCTTTTATAGCAAAGCATCTGTTTTTCCATTGGAACAACTTTAGGTAGAAAACATCAAGCACATTTGAAAAGACACAAAATATAATCAACCTGAGCAGGTACAGGAAATGATTTTGTAAACAGCATGATTGTACAATAAAATCTGTGCAGTCAGACTGTCCCTTGCTTTCTATGGGTGCATTGAAATTATTTTCTCCTATTTTGTGCCATCTCTTTAAACTGAACCTGAGTTCTTCTGTCAACATTGCTAGTCTATTCGTGGTGCTGACATTGTGTTGGTTTTCAGAACAGAATTCAAACAATTCAAAAAAAGACTTGCTCAATCTCGGTCTGTCAGATGACCCCCAACTTAAACAACCAATATGTCAGGATGCTGCTGGGGAAGGATGAGGCCAACTGATTGAGGGAAAAACATGGACTGCTTTTGTGCGTTTAAGAATGGCTTAGTTTGCAAGAATCCAGAAAGGAGACATTTTCATGCCACAGAAATAATGTGGCTATTTGTTAATACCGTATCTTTAAATTATGCTGCTGTTAAAGATAGAGCTATAAGAACTAGTTGAAAATCTTAACGGCTTTTTTATTTTGAACGATGGACTTTGATTATTTGCAGTCCATAAACAAATAAAGTGACAAATGCAAAAAAGACCAAGGGTTCTGATACCTTTCCAAAGCGGTACAGAAGAAGGAAGTTATCACTTCTCATGCAAGAATGAAAAAGAAAGAAAGGATGGTCAAAAACACTCTCTTTTAAGCATTCATGAAGCCTATAGCTATCCTGGCTGAGGATGAGAATTATGGTCTAACACAGCCAAAGGACACCAAGTTTGGAAAGCTGGTATTAAAGCTATAGGAGAACTGTTCATTTTGCATGTATTCTCATCCTAGGATCTGTCGGCACAATAAGAAGCAAATGACAGAAACAGAATAGGTCTAGATAGGAGAAGGTACAAACTTTGTGAGATGCAATCCAGCATGCTGCCAAGTGCAAGTCATGACATTTTACTTCATGTGCAGGCCGCATGTTCTTTTTGCTCTAATAACCAAAAAACGAAGCACCCATGCAGCATTCCATTCACTCTAGAGACATAGAGCCTTTTAAATATATCTATTTTGCAGTCCTGGACTGAAATCCAATTACTTGGAAGTACATTCCAGTGAACTCAGTGGAACATGTAGAGGGACTGCACAGTTAGAATCATTCAGAGAAGGGGCAA